AGGCTTAATTGTTACTATTGTAATGCTAGAAGTATAAGAAATGAAACAGATGACTTCAGAGCACTGGTAGGAATGGAGAATTTTGATATAATGGGAATAACTGAAATATGGTTAAATGTAGACAGATGACAGAATTTGATGACAGAAATTTCTTTGAAATACGGGGTTATAGATTATTTAATAGGGATAAAGTACTGAAGAGAGGGGGAGGGCTGGCTTTATATGTAAAATGTGAGTTACACCCTGTTGAAGTTGAGGATATCAAAGATAATAGCAAGGAGATTGAATCCATTAAGGTTTCTATTAGTGGATATAAATGGCTTTTAGTGAGAATCTGTTACAGACTACCAGCTGATACTGATGAAATTAGTGAGAAACATTACAGTCAGATTAAGATTTCAGCTGTTAATGAGGTCATAATTATGGATGATTTTAATTTCAGGCATATAGATCGGGAAATGCTAAAGTCAAACCATGATGATAAAGGCTTTTGAAACTGTTCAAGATGGTTTTCTTCTCACCAAGTGGTCAAGTACTAGAAACAATGCTATTTTAGATGTATTGTTAACTTATAATTTAGAAATTGTTGAGAGGGTTGGAATTGTGGAACATCTGGGTGCAAGTGACCATTACTCTGTTAGGTTCAATGTTTTGCTGCATATGGAGATCAGGAATAATGATATCTTGGTTACAAATTTCAAAAAAGCAAATTTTGAAGTGATGCAACAAGAATTATCTGTTGTGAATTGGGCAGCTCAGTTACTTAGAGACACTGGTCGATTGTGGAAAAACTTTTAAATATTCAAGATAAACATATTCCTTATAGAAAGAAAAGTGTGGCTGCAAGAAAAAAACAGGTTGGCTCACAATGGATATGTAAGAAGCAAAATTAAAGAAAAACGTCACAAATTTAATAAATTTAAGTTGACTGGGATGACGGGAGACTTAGAAGATTATAGGAGATGAAGAAAGTTGGTAAAATGGGAAATTAGGATATCAAAAAGGATGTATGAGAAAAGGTTGGCTGAATATGTAAAAATGTACAGTAAGGATTTCTTTAAATACGTGAAGGTAAACAAAATTTTAGGATGGGATGATAAAGGAAGTCTTGTATCTGATGATTATGAGATGGCTGGGTTATTAAATTCTCCTTTCTCTTCAATTTTTACTGATGAAAATTTGAGCAGTATACTTCATCTTGAACAGTTGATAGAAGGAAACAAGGTTGAACAAGATAATTACATTAATTCTGATCTTGTTAAGAAACAATTGGGAAGTTTAATAAATGATAAGGCTCCTAGGCCAGATAATATTTCCCCAAGGGCTTTGAAGGATCTTAAGGATTGGATATGTGAGCTACTTGCTACTGTTTTTTTTTGTAAGTACTTGAATAGTGAGCAGGTGCCAAAGGATTGGAAGTTAACTAATGTCACTCCTCTTCTCAAGGGAGGTAATAAATATTGTCCCAGTAATTATAAGCCTATTAGTCTTAAACCAGTTGTGGGAAAAGTTTTAGAAAGTCCAATAAAAGATTCTTTGCAAAGTCATTTAACAAAGTTTAGAATTTTAATGGATTGTCAACATGGTTTCACTAAGGGAAAATCTTGCCTTACAAATTATTTGACATTCTTTGAAAAGGTTACTGCTTATGTAGATGAGGGTAAGAGTGTAGATTTGGTGTTTCAGGATTTTCAGAAAGCATTTGACAAGGTGCCGCATAAAAGTCTTGTAAAAAAAATTATATCTGTGGAAGATGAGTTAGCTAATTGGATTGAAGAGTGGCTGGATGGAAGAAAACAGAGGGTTGTTATAAATGGAGTTCAGTCGAACTGTATTAATGTCACAAGTGGGGTACCTCAGGACTCAGTCTTAGGACCTTTGCTCTTTTTGATTTACATCAGTGATATAAATGAAGAAATGGTCAATAAATTACTTAAATTTGCAGATGGTAATTAAGGTCTTGGGTGTTGCTAGCTGTGAAGAGGATGCTGCTGATTTACGAAAGGATTTAGATCATTTAGTGAGGTGGGCAAATAAATGGCAAATGGGCTCTAATTATAATAAATGCAAGATAATGCATATGGGTTATCATAATTTGAATCCTAAGTATAATTTGGATGGGAATAATCTTAACAGTGTCATGAAATTTAGGGGTCTTGATGTAATGGTTGACCAGTCTCTTGAGCCATCCAAGCAGTATGCTGTCATTAATGGTAAGGCAAATAGGATTTTAGGTTGTATTTACAGAAATAGTGAATACAAGTGTCTAAAGAGGTTATAATTTCATTGTATAAGTCACTGGTTAGGCCACTTTTTGAGTTTTGTGTCCAGTCTTGGGCTCCTTACCTAGAAAGGACATTGAATTGTTGGAAAGGGTTTAGAGGAGGATTACTAGAATGGTGCCTGGGATGGAGGGGTTATCATATGAAGAGAGGCTAAAGTCTTTTTTTTCTCTTGAAAAAAGAAGTGTTAGAGGGGATCTGATTAAGGTGTTTAAGATTGTAAAGGGAATTTATAGTGTTGATGCATCATATTTTTCATACTTAACTGTGAGAATAGTAGAACTAGGGGACACAAATATAAATAATGGCAAGGTAGGAGTATCTTCAGCTAAGACAGTTTTATTTTTCTAACAGAGTTGTTGGCCTCTGGAATGGGTTGCCTTCAGATGTTGTGGAGGCAGTAAATTTAAGTGGGTTTAAGAGAAAGCTTGATAAGCATATGATTGATATGAGCTGGCTTTAAAAAGTTTTTTAGATTAATTTATTTAATAGTTTTAGTTCACTTTAGAGGATGGGACAACTGAAGTGGACCAATAGGTCCTTTGTTGTCCCTAAATGTT